ACCCCAGAAAAATTTCTCTTATACTTTCCCTTGCAAGATTTTCGATGCCTATTTTAAAAATGTTTTTGCTATTTGTCGCTTGCATTTATATTAAAAATATATATTCAAGTGCTACTTACATGAACTGATAGCTAATTGTAGCCTACTCTATCGCAGCATTTTCGGGACCTATTTTTAATTATTGCAATCAAACTAAAGTTTCTCGGGAGACAAAATAACAATCAATCATTTTTATACGAGTATTTTTGTGCGATGCGATGTTTACAACCAAGCTTAAATATATGTCTGTTATTCAATTGTCTGTTCTTCAATTGTTTCGTCAATGTTAACTAATTGTTGATTGATCATTGCCACGGTAATAAACAGTGAAATCGATGCTCGGGGAAACATCCATGTAGGTCTCGTGAATCGTGGGCCGTGGCTTCAATTGTTTTTGGGGCCCAATAGTGTAAATCTGTATACATTCGATGGCTGTGAGAAACCGCGATGGAAGATGAAACATTTTATTTTAACAAAAATTTAGTTTGCTTCTATGGACTTTTCCCCGACCTTTAACCCCCGAAAATATTCTTCCTATATTTTACTATTACAAAATTATCGGTGCTTATTTTAAGAGTAGTTCCGCGACTTTTAAGAGTGGTTTCGCGACTCTCGCGACTGTAAAATTGGGTTCAAACCATCATTATAATTCATCGCACACAACAATCTGTTTTTTTAAAAGTACCGGTAACAATTTTAGCCTAGTCTATCACAGCTGTTTCTACACTTATTTTTTATTACTGCAATTAAACTGACACTCCTAAGAAGACAAAGTGATCATTGAATTATTTGATATATATTTGCATATCCGAAACATAACTGAAAACTAACAAATAAAGAAAACGAGGTAACGTTCACGACCACGCCTGAAAATCTGTCTGAGTGAGAAATGTGTCGAAGGCTAAGCGGATAAGAAATTGGGCCATTGTTACGTCACTTTTTGCATTTTGCTGATTGGCCAATGTCACGAGGTAAACAAGGAAGTCGATGCTCGGGGAAATAAACATCAGATGCCTCGCCCGACGGTATGCATCTTCCGAAAAAATAATCCGGTAATAAGTGGAATTTTTTAGTATATATAGCCTAATTGTGAAGTCATGTTGGGGCACTCCTCCCTCTCTCTCTCATATATAAAAAAAAATCTTGGTATTTAGTCGTTATACTCGGACAGGGATACTCAACTAGCGGACCGCGGTACGAAACCGGACCTTTGTAATATGTTGATAGGTATTTGTCTGTCTGTCTGTCTGTCTGTCTGTCTGTCTGTCTGTCTGTCTGTTTGTCTGTCTGTGTGTCTGTTAGACACTTTCGTTTGTTACGCGATATCTCACGAAAGCGAGATCTGCTCCAAATTTCGCATGTGCATTCATCATATTTCGGAACAGAAGCCTATTGATTTTGGATGGATTGTGTCGTATAATTAGCTAGTTGATTGATTAATAAGTGATGGGACACGTGGTGTCAGAACGAAAGATACACGCCGCTAGATCGATAAGTCGGCGGTCTCTGATCGCCATCTCGTTCTTTATTTTGTATCATCAACTCTATTTTGGATATGTTAATGGTTTCCTTTTATTAAATGACTTTATTAGTTTTAAAGCTATTTTTATAATTTGCTCACATTTGCATCTGATTATATATGGAACCAATGACATAATGTCATTGATGGAACGAACAGTAACGCCATACTAAATAGTGCGAAACTGCGAATAGATTATTATTTATATTTGGAGCAGAGGCGGTATTGTTATTTTATGGCGGCGACTTTTTACAAAATATCCCGAAATACTTATATGAAGCATTGTTTCAACTAGAATTTTGCGAATTAACCCGACACAAAATTTCATAAAGCAAGGTTCGATAGGACTTGAAACTTGAAACACGTCTAAGGGCGCTGCCAGAATTACAAAAGGGGTGTTGGAAACCAGAAGAAATCTGGAAATTTCCATGAAACGATCGCTACAATTAGGCAGACCACTTGTGGAAAAACCCACTTTTTGGACTGGACAGATAGTGTTTGTTACTTATCGATCTTAAGATCGGTAAGTATGTTGATAGGTATTTGTTTGTTTGTTAGATGCACGCGATATCTCACGAAAGCGAGGTTCCATCTGCTCCAAATTGCATGTGCATTCATCATAGTTCGGGTCAGAAGCCTATTGATTTTGGATGGATTATGTCGTATAATTAGCGAGTTATTGATTAATTAGTGATGGGACATACGGTGTCACTATGGAGTAAGACCACTGTTTTGGGGTATCCCCTAACCTTCGATCGATAAGTCTTCGGTTTCCAACCGAATTCTAGTTCTGTTATGTTGTCGGGTATTGATTTTGCAGTTTCGCACAAAGTATTTAATTGATGAGTAATCCTAGTATATTTATAATGTCTTGCTTTATTAATTTAATTGTGTTGTGTTTAGTTTAATTGTGTCGACAAAAAAAAAACATACTACGAAATATCAGGGCTATAAAAAGTGTTTCAAACTGTCGGATATCTAGTTTTGATTCGTATTTTTGCGATGTTAATAAATATACAAATTTGATATGTTCTGCAAACACTGACTTTGCTTTATTACAATGCTACCACCTAAGATTACCACCCAATTTTCAAGATATCAACGTTAGAGAAACCCGTATTTCTGCGATAAAATATCAAAGGCTAAATTTATTTTAGTACAATAAAAATTGATTGTACAGTGATACTTCGATATTCGACCAAAGCAGTCAAAAATGCTGTGGTATTTTAACGTAAATTCGGATCTCGAACACCCGAACCTAGCGGAGCTCGCGGCCGAGTGAGATGACGCCACCCGAAACCGACCTTGATCCAAAAATATCACCAAGTAAAACATGCATTGAATGTTCCATTTTTATTTTATGCTGCAATATATCATTAATACTTTTTATGGATGCAGTTTTTCGTTTTTGTTGAGAAAATTAATAGGTATCATAATATGACTAAAATATTTGTGCGCCCGCTCACTCAGCGGTGACTGATAAAATAGTCCGCGATAGCAAATGGGTTCTTCACCCCTGATCTAAAATAAAGAATTATGTGTGGTACGAATCAAATACTCAAAAGGTCCGCATTCCTACCGCAGTCCACCTGTTGAGTATCCCTGCCCGAGTATATCCAAGGTTTGTTGTATAAGAAGGAGATAGAGAGAGGAGTGCCCCGACCGGTATTCATAGGTATATATACTACAAAATTCTACTTTACCAGATTATTTTTCCGCAAGTAGCTTACGTCGACGATGCATCTTGTTTTCGATCGAAAAAAATGACTCCGTCACCACGCTTATCACGGAAGCAATTAACAAGCAATACGCAAGAATGGCGCCAAAATATGTCATTACGTAAGATATCATCAACACAAAATTGTATTTATTTCTTCTTGTTGAACTTAAGATTTTATTTTCAAAACTGCAACACAATTAAATGTTATTTTGATTTTTTTCAGAACAGTAAAAACACAAAAACCTTTTAATTGAAACCGTGAAAAATCACCAAAAAACGCGCAAAACCCGTGAAAAAATACCAAAACACGTGCAAAAACTGTCAAACTGCAACACATTTGGATATTTTGGTTACTTCTTACACAAAAAGTGCGATATGGCGAACCACGGCCTCTCGTTCGGTTACCAGTCCATGTCGGGTATGGGATTAGTTATTTTTTATATTCGGAATCATGGACTTGGTGCTGGAGGTAGCCGTAACCGACCAGCGGTTACGTGAACCACCATAAGGCGGCGAGGAGTCCACCAATCCTCTCGCACATGATCATCCCGCATGGGATTTGAACCTACGAAGCCACGCATAGTAATCAGAGGTGCGGTGGCGAGCGTACTCCTAACGCTTAGCACGATTAACCAACCACACCGCCGCGCCGTTTTTGTTCAATCTGACTAAACACCCACGTCATGTTTTTAAATGCCATATCAGTATCAGTGCAATCTGCATTCCGAGGCGGGGGCTTTGTACAAAAGAACCACCTTTTATTGAGTTGGTCAAATTACGATAGAACGCAAGTGAGTTTACCGTATTTTTCTTGTTTTCAAACTGCTCGGAATACGCTCATATTTGGATTTACATTTTTTTTAATTTGATTGATTGTCAGTTGGATTACTTTTCCGCAGTGAACACATTTCAGAATTTAGGTTCCGAGCGCGCTTTATAAGCTTCGGTTTCCCGATTTCGTGATTATTATTGTGTTTTACAGTTTCACTGCGGACAAGAGGTATGTGTGTTTTATTTTAGTTGATTTAACATCGACTCTAAATTTTCGTCGATGTTCAGAGTGCGACTTCTGGCCGTCATTGAGTTGATTATCGTCTCATAACTAGTGTCGAAATTACGTTTTGGGGGGTAGATCTCACTTTTCACTTTAAAAAAAATTCTAAATATATTTAAAAAAAACTATGCAATTCAATTCAATGGTATTTTTAATCCTGCTACAGCATCATTGCATCATAGGCGTACGGATACACTTGTACTTGCGCAAAGACATTGAGAAGATTGGCAGTTAGTCTCGCGTAACCCCTACTTATAGTTATATTTAAAAAGTATTGTTTATATTGTGGTCCATTTTTATTTTTGTAAAACCCAATCTCAAAGAAATCTAATTTTTCGACCTAAAATATATCAAATAGCATGTTGGTATAGCATGAGGTAAAGGATTACTTTTCAAAACCATTTATAAAAAAAAAAAACTATGGATGGGCTTATTTTTATTTTGAAGTGAATTGTATATTATATAATAATCACTACCAACTATCATTACGTGACAATGCTATTATTATGTAAATGATATTCAGCTACAACAGCAATTAAACAATTATGTGTAGTTAGTATGAAAATGATGGAAAGTTGAAAGGTTATGGATAGTGATGATACTTTGTTGTCTTTTCTCTCTCGCGACGCTCAAATTTATCTACTTTTTATTATTTCAATGCAGCCCATATAGACTTGAAGTAAAATCATGGATTCTTCGTTACCTGAAATCATAAAAAATATAAATGAAACGGAGGAATTATTTAAAGGATTCCAAGACACGGAAGATCCGTTTGGGGATTATTATTACCTTCCTGAACATTTTAACTCGTCAGAATTTGAATTCACACCGTTATGTGGCCTTGATGTATCGAGACCAAATAATCTTGCTGCGATAATTCTGTCTACAATAACTTCAATAGTTGGAATTATTTTGAACTCCGGAGCAATATTTCTGATGACTGTTTTAAAAGAATACAAAAAATCGACACAGTTTTGGTAAGTTTTTCTAAATGCCTAGTTTATGAACGTTTGACTGTGGACATGAATGAAGGACAGGGAAGTAGCCGGGGATTTTCAAAAGGGGGGTGGGGAGAAGATCCAAAACATGAATTCATAAAAAGTTGGGAACTATTGCATTATATGATTAGACAATACAATTCACTTTATATTCCCATCCCTTAGATTTAAAATAAAGCATATATATCTGTATCAGATTAAAACGGTCTTTATAAGCTTAAGTGTTTTAAAAGTACAACCGCCCGAAAGTTCAATACATTCTCTTATCTTTTGCTCGTTTATTTCTTGCCCAAGCCGTGTATTTTTGTAATTTTTTTTGCATGTGTGCTGGGGTGTAGAGCTGGGCACTCGTCGAATATTTGATTCGAATAGTAAATTATTCGAATCGGTTCAGAGCAAAATTTCAAATCGCCGCCATCTTGTTTTTTTTCTTCCCACCAATGGTCGAAGTCAAATCTCCAATTTTTTTTCATCGAAGCCATATTTTTTCAATGCCATTCTGACATATGACCATTTTCTGAGTAAGTTAATGATAAATAAGTATTTTTTATTGCGTGTGAACGCTCAGCAATCTGGACAAGTGACGTATTCTATGTTTCTAGTAATTTATTTGTTGACAGGTCCAATTACAATAAAAAAGTCGCATACAATTATATGTTTCTCCCAAGTATTCGAGATTCGATTCGAAAAAAATATTTGATTCGATTCTGAACTCACCAGGTATTTGAAAATGCCCAGCCCTATTGAGATGTGTCCGGAAAATTCGTCGCAGGTAATCTCGCCGCTTAGTCAAAATCGCCGCAAGAGCATTTTGCTGTAAAACAGGTATTTGTGATAAAAACAGTTAGCTTCATAGGGTTAGGGTATGCTCTTAAATATCGAATCTTTTTAAATGAAAGACTACTTCAAAAATCTAACTCTCTTCTGTTTTTATCACACTCTCTTGCGGCAATTTTATCATACGGCAATATTTTCCCATGTGGCGAGATTTTCTACGGAAAAATTTCCTGCGGCGAATTTCGTAGAACCGTGCTGAGGAGCGGGTACATAGTATTTCTCACATGGTATCTATCTATGAAGTCTTAATTATAACTCCTATTTCAGGTTATTTCTTCAACTTCTGATTTCAAACCTGATCTTCCTATTTTTCCTTTTCCTACAAACTATAAATGAATTGAACAAACGTTGGATCATGGGATCGGTGCTGTGTAAACTCGGAGAAGCCTCAATGTTTTCAAGTCACAATGCCGGAGTTATCTTCCTTTTGGTAAATATTCTGATTAAACTATTTTATTCAAAAGTCTTGTTGCACACTAACACAAATGTATTTATGAAACATTCGGTCCGGGGGTATCACTGTACAATTAATTTTTATTGTAGTAAAATAAATGGTAGCCTTTGATATTTTACGCAGATCTACAGGTTTCTCTAACGTTGATATCTTGAAAATAATCTTGGGTGGTAGCATTGTAATAAAGCAAAGTCAGTGTTGAAGAACATATCAAATTTGTATATTTATTAACATTGCAACCGGGTTCATAGTTGAAAAGTGCTTGTTAGCATAAGTCTGACCCCTATCAGCCGAAGCATTACAAAAATACATTTGTCTTAGTGTGCAGTAAGACTAAGTATTACATAGTATGGTCATCTTTTTTCTTGCTACATGCGTTACACGCATATGGATACATTTCCACGAAGGCACAGAGCAAGAAAAGATAGTTAGTCTTATGTAACCCCAACTGATAGCTATTCTGATTAAATTGACTTTTTGTAGGAATTACATTGTGAAAAATATAACCGTATCATATGTGATACGGATTTTTTAAAGTTACGCCGCCGAAGGGTAATACCTATACACAATGATTTTTCTTCATAGTTACAATCACAGTATTATGTTTAACATAATGGTGAAGAACTCATTGTATTTTACCTCCGCTATACAGGGACTTAGCCACGAATTTTCAAATGGAGGAGCAGGGTTTCTGAAATTTCTAATTGCCAAGTTAGATTGTATCAGATAGAGAGTCTGTGGGTTTTTAAAAGCCTTGAGGGTCTCAAAAAGCGTTTCGAGCTACGTAAAATTGCTATGTGTGATACAGAATAATGCTTTTTTGGTGCTCCAGAGGTATGCGCACCAAGATGTCGCACAACCTAAATCCTAACTGGTACACACATAATATGTTAAGGTTGTGCGCCATCTTGGTGCGCATACTTCTGGTGGTCCGCTTTTTTACATTAAAAAGGGGGGAAAGGTCCCCAACCCCATTCCTGATTGCCTCTGCTTAACGGAGTGCTATATGTTTCCTACTACAGGGCACATTTTTCAAGTTGTTCGCGAAAAAATATCAAAAGTTTTAACGCAACGGAACATTATTATCATGATTTATCATCGATTTTTTTCAGACTTGCAACATATGGGAAATCGTTTCTCGATTTACTTGCAAATTACCTTCGATCGTTGAACGTTGGAATCAGAACGAGATTGTCGAGATTGCGAAAAAAGTTCTCATTTTTGTTTGTATTTGGACCCCATGTGCTCTCATTAACTTGCCTTTATATAAATACAATAATCTTAACGATTGTGATCAATGTGTACTGGGATTCCCATTCGAAGCTAAAGAACTTTGCCCAATGGTAAGATTTTTTCGTCTGATCTATGAGTGTCAACGCACAGAGAATCATTTTTTGTATAAGTTGTTTGACGTAAGATTCTGGGCATTAGACTAAGAGTGAGTAGATTACTGATATGGGAGTTGCAATTGACCACTGACGATAAGAGCGCTACAGTGGCTCTCAAACTTTTTAGAAGTTGTCAAGTCTCGCTCCCAACCTCAAAAATAACTAGCTGGCAATATGCTACAAATAACAGATAGTACGGCGAAAGTATGTTTTATTCGAAGAAACACGTTGCAAATACGTGGATGGAATGTAAATAATGAAATAAATGAAAAGTTTTAAAATGTAAATATCCAAAATAAGGCGGACACGATTAAATATATATAACAAATATTTTATTTAAATTTACGGCCCCTCAAAAAATTGTCTACGGCCCATGTGCGGCGCGCCCCACAGTTTGAGAATCACTGCGAATCTCTATTGATTTTGAATAAAATTGCTTCTTTCGTTTCAGTTGGGCTTAGATATTTCGAGTTGTGAAGATATGATGGAGTTTGTTGATACAATCGGATCCGAAGAAGACGACGAACCTTACGTCGAATCCGAAAGCGGCGACTTCTATGAGTTTCCAGTAATCGATCCAAAATTCGACCAAATTCTTAACTTGACGAGTTTAGAGGAATTGACAGCTTGCAAGTGAGCGGGTCTCCATTAGTATGAATAGGATAGAATTTACATATTCATCACGGGAGAGGGGGAAGCCGTTACGACGACTGAATCATATGGCGAACCACGGCCCCTCGTCCAGTTACCAGTCCATGTCTAGTATGGGATTAGTTAGTCAGGTTTTTGTTTTCGGAAGCATTGGCTTGGCTTGGTGGTGGAGGAAGCCGTAACCGACCAGAATGCACGTGAACCACCCTACGGCGGCGAGGAGTCCTGCATTCCTTTCGCACATAACTATCCCCGCATTGGATTCGAACCTGCGAACCTACCTAGGGTAATCAGAGGTGCAGTGGCGCGCGTATACCCAACGCTTATCACGTGCGCCATACCGTGATAAATAGGCCAATAAGATTGCGTTATGTGGCGGACCACCACTTCTCGTTTGGTTACCAGTTCAGGTCGTATATAAAAATAATTAGTCCTTATTCTAGTAATCTTCATTCCGCCTTCCTATGCATAAAACTCCTTTTCCGTTTGTAGTTGTCTGTTCTTCTCTTTTTTGACCATAAGCTAATGATACTCTTAACTTTTGTGCGATTTGAAATAGTTTATAATGTTTGTTTGAATATGTATTACAAGAATTCTGAATACGTAAACAGCAGTATGGTCTACGGCTTTTCATTTCCAAATTTAGGTGGTGGTAGTTGTTTGAAACAAGCAACAAAACTATTTGTAACTTATAAAAATGTGTATGTATTTGACTGACAATCTGCACTGTTATATATATGTCCTGGAAATCACCGGTCAAGAGTATTGGTAATTCTAAACACGATTACAGAGTAAAATTTCCCTAAAAAATTAAATTCCGCCCTGAGAAGGAATTCCCCCGGTTGGAAAATAGTATGTTAACCGGTTAAAGGTACACAATCAGTAGTGGGATTCGGCCGGTTCGCACCGGTTCTATAGAACCGTCTCACGGAATTTTATGAGATTGCATGTCTTTTTGAAACAGAACCGCCTAAAAATTCAACATTTGTAAGATGGAACCGGCTGACAAAAAATTTGAATCCCACCACTGTTCACAATGTATACAGACTTGGGGGGTATTCAAACGAAAAATCACTTCCACATCTGATTCACTGCTCTGTAGTCACCATATGATGCATAAAGGATTACTATGGAATACGTGCGCTAGATTTCAAATAAAAAAATTGGGATCTTTCATACAAAGCCCCGCCAAAAAACACTCCGACAAGGATCAAAATAGGAAAATTAGTAAATATGCAATTAGGGTCATGAATGCAGTTTAGGCTTGGAATTCATATTTTCAAATAATTTTTAACCCCAACTAGATAATTACTAATTTTTTATTTAAAAACGTGGTAGGGGGTTTTCTCAAATCTCACATTTTTTTATTAGCCTTTGTACAAAAGATTAAAATATTGCATGAAAATTCAAACAAATCGAAAATCCCTTTTTTTACTTCATGAAGTTGCAAAACAACCTAATACAAATTTTCCTTGCAGATAAATATTTCTATTCAGCCGCTCATGTTACAACTTGTTGTTCAGGTACGAGGAACCGGGCTCATTTTTCGTCTGGCTGTTGGCATCCTTCACATTGTTTTATGCATCACCGATTCCTATTATGGTTTTTATGGGATGTTTCTGGATTTATGACATCATACAACGAACACAGAAAGGAAAAAACAACGCCAAAAACAAGGTAGGATTTACATTTTTTAATCCTCTTTCTTTTAAAGCTTAGTGTTTACATTGCAGGGGAATTAACTATTTTGATCTAGACGTGCATGACAATAGCTACGACAATCTATGATTTAATTAGGTTCAACCCAATGAGTATTGTAATATTTCTTGGATGACAAGCAGCAAATACATCCGAATCAGTAATAAAAATAACTTTTTCTTAAATTAGGGACATTAATAGTTTCATTCCGATTTTCTGTTTTTTAGTTCATTTTCGCGTTTCGGACTATCTGTGTTAGCCAAGTGAACATACCCTGCCCATAGGTTTCAGTCCCTTTACGGTTTACACAACTTAATGTAGCCTTAAGTAGGCGAAACGTCTGTAAGTAACCACAACAAATCACCTTTTTAGGTTCCAAATCTACAAAAAATTGAACAACAGATGCCAGTTCAATTGAACTGAATTTATCCACAGAAAGTATTTCGAATATTGTTACTGTTATAGACTTGCTGCCGCTTCAATAACTGACCATAGATCTACTTGATATTTATTTTCCTTATGGAGTAATGTATTGTGTATTATTATAGCCATGTTCAAAATATTTGAATTCGAGACTTATTGCCAAAAATAGTTCGATGACTTACGTCAGTTTTCAAACCAAATGCAAGTGATTGCCTATCTATTTGTCAATCAAATAGGCGCAATAGAAGTATCGAATGAGTTTCCAATCTTAATCATCGCATCCGCGCGATAGTGTCAAGGGCAAATGTCGCCGATAAGTTTTGATGATTGTTTTTGAACAGCAAATATCGACCTAAACATTTTAGCAATTAATTTAAATTTACAACATTCTGAATTGTAATTGCGTATTTTAGAGTTCAAGGGGAAAACGAACGTTATATTCACTTGGTTAACACAGACAGTCCCCGTACTCGTAATAGAAATAAAATAAGGAAAATCGGAATAAATTATGGCCTAACCTGGTACACATACCACCGGAGTACCGATTATTCGATACGAATAGGTGATCGGTGGGATGAATTATTTGCGTACTCCATACAACTGCTGAACACCCTCGAAGCGAATACTGAACTGAAAATATCAACACAAGTTTTGAAGTATTGATATGCATAGTAGCGTGGCTATTGATCATAAATAAACAACAGAATGTGACGTCAATGTAACCAAAACTGACGTCATAATGATGATTCAAATTGACATGAAGTGATGGCACGAAGTCTCACTAAACCGCCAAACTGACTAGTACCAGTACCCAAGTACAGTGTTTACACCAACGGTCGACAAAGTGTTTTGGGTGAGGCCCAAATAGTAAAATGGAAAACGTTTCAAAGTCCAACAATTTCGTTGAAAATTTCAAAATCCACGTAATTAACTTGTTAAGGGGCATTTAATTTGTTTAGTTGAAATGAACGTAACGTATGATCGTTTGATATATGAACAAAAATTAATTGGCAAAAGAATTAAATGTTATGTAATAATGTTCGACTTTTTTGTGTATCACTGCCATAATTGAAATATATTGGAGGCCCATTAGGAAAAGCTCGGCGGCCTACTATTGGGCCGCGGCCCACGGTTTGCCGACTACTGGTTTACGCTAAGGCCCAAGAGTGTGCAACCTGCGGGCCGAATGCTGCCCCCCAAGGAAAACTTGTGCCGCCCGCTGAGCAGCCCACTTTTGAATGGTGTGCAGCCCGCGAAACGAGTTATTTATTTAATCTAGTATGTGAGAATAATTCCAATTCCTTTGCGTTACAACGCCTATATCTATGCTTGTGCAAAGTCAACAATGCATGTCACAAGATTAATAAGCCAATTTTTTGTGTCTGAAACTACTAGAAAGCGTATGTTAATTAAAAGTGCGGTCCGCGGTTTCATCCAGTTATTGGTATCTGGCCTTCGTGTATTAAAGGTTGCACACCCATGCATTAATCCATTATTTTTCTCCTTTAGAATCTCACGACACCAATAATTCTCGCATTGAATGTTACTTTCTTCCTGTGTTGGACGCCGTGGAACGTCATCCACATGAAGAAGGCTTACGGTGGAATAGAAGGACGGAACGGAAAAGAGTGTTCTTCACTCATCAGTTATGCTCGGTTCTCAGCTTTGGTTTATAATGTTGTTGCTCCTGTTATATATGTGTAAGTTGTTTTTAATCAAAGTTAATTTAAGCCATCTTGTAAAGCAGTTAGTTTTAAGTTTTAGGCTAGTTTGAGGTTGCCGCTGACAAGTAGACCGAATGGTCATTTCGCGGTTATCCTGCCACCCGGTACAAATATTTTTGTGAGCTTACTTGTTTTCAATTTTGTTATGCTTTGCCGAGATGGCTAATAAAAAACGATTTGATTGATTGATTGAGTTACATAGAACTAAGTTTTAAAAGAAATACCACAAAATCCATGTATCTGAAACAAATAACTGGCTAACTAATTCCATATCCGACATGGAATGGTAACCGGACGAGAGGGCGTGGTTCGCCATATGATTGAGACGTATTATTGTCCTTTCTCTCCCCTGGGATACGACTCTGTGCTATAGACTCTGTATAGAGCGTTAATGACATATGTACAGTTAACCGATATGCCCATTTCATGACACTTTGGATGCCAGATATGGACCAGACTGATATCCAACGCAATTTCATGAAAAATAATCAAAAACTATTACGTTCGGCAACTATACGTCATAGCTAGAACAACGCACGTTAAAGATTTCACTTTGCATACTCATTACGAGGTGTGATAAATTTGGTACTATCACCCCACCGAGTGCTGCATTGTAAAAATTACCTCAATGTCAAAATATTGCCCTGCCAATAACATAATTATGCCGGATCAATTATCAACATAGATGAAAAATAGCTGGGTTAAAAGATTAACACTTATAAAAATACGTCATTTTTTAAAATTCAATTAAGATGTCAGTTTTTCGTCTAGATGCCTTGTTATTTTGTTAAAAAGTCCTATAAGCAAAAAATTTTTTTTTTTACATTTTACGGTCAGAATGAGTCAATATTGAGTATACTTCACTGTCACCCTTTTGACGAAATTTTTTGTACGTTCCCACGACCTATTTCAGACTACAAAATGTCAAAATTTGACGTAAATTACGCATTTTGTCCTGAATATGCTTCCAGGTGATGCCAATCAAGGATGTAATTGGAGAATTAAATGGCTGTAGTTGCCAGAAATAGTAGGGTTACTTAAAATGAACTTTTCATAAACAACCGTGACACGTTCGCCATCCGCGTTTCCAGTTTCGAAAAGAATGACATTTATGAATTTTTTGTAAATAAACTGCTTGTAAGGCAAATCGGGTGATATTTTTTTTGTTTTAAGGTTGCGCATAGGAATACGTAAACAAGTATTCAGACTAAATTGGTTCCCCCTGTCAAACACGCACTACTCGTTCAATGAGCCTGCAATATTATTATAATTAGACAAATGGCAACAAAACGCAGAAAAGTTGATGCCAAGTGCAAAGGGTTCAATGGCGCCGAAAATATCCAAATGAAATTTTTTGAGATATGTATCACTGCTTGATTTTTATTATAAAAAGGATCATCCGTTCGGTTTTCAACTTTTCTAAAATATGTGCTGCCCGCCAATGACTTGCAACGCTTAATTTTTGCCCACGAGTGACAGAATGTTGCCGACCTCTGGGCTAGACAATAATTTTATCCCGATTCTCCTTACTTGAGTACTATTACAAGTTCGGGGCTGTCTGTGTTAGCCAAATGAATATACCCCCTTGCCCATAGGTTTCAGTTCCTTTACACAACTTTATTTAAAGTGGGCGAACAAAATTAGTTACCTCCACATTGCTACACACATTTTGAAGCGCCGGAACAAGTAAGCAGACTAAATTTATTCCCTTATCAACCAGCACGTACTGAAATATTTGAAGACGCTTTTCTCAGAACCAAATTTAAATATGTCTTTTACGGCAGGGTTCATCACATTTTTGGTGTTATGGAGTCCGTGAAAAGGTTGACTATTATTTACGAAGCCCCATAATAAATTTATAAAAATAAAAATTATATGTTGAAACTTAGGATAGGATAGGATTTACATATTTATCCCGGGGGAGAGCAAAGTCGATGGAATGACTTAATCATATGGCGAACCACGGCCTCCCGTCCGGTATCCAGTCCAGGTCGGGTATGGGATTAGTTAGCCAGTTATTTGTTCTCGGAAGCATGGACTTGATGATGGAGGAAGCCGTAACCGACCAGCGGTTACGTTAACCACCCTACGGCGGCGAGGAGTCCAGCAATCCTCTCGCACATAATCATCCCCGCATGGGATTCGAACCTGCGATCCCACGAAAGGTAATCAAAGATGCGGGGGCGAGCGTATTCCTAACGCTTAGCACAATGCGCCAAACCAATGTCATATTTGAAATACCGTCATGTTGCCAAATTTCGACGCTACCGTTCTCCAATCTTATGAATGCCGTTTTATGCTTCGTTGGACAGTTATAAAATTTGGCCAGTCATTATTTTAATAAGTAAACAAATAGCTCGCGGAGCCCCCTAGGTTTCTCTCATAGAGCCCCCGGGCTCCGTACGGAGCATTTTGAGAATCTATGTTTTACTTGACTATGATAAACTGAATATATATATATCTTCAAATTTTATATTGTTTTCGAGGCCATTCCTCTTTGTTTGATTGAGACAAACCACGCAATAAAATCAAATTTTAAAACTATTGATTTTGGTTAGAACTTGTGATGGCAAGAGGCTTTTAACGACTCCAACTGACAACGGCGCTGTTTAAGCTGGCACTGTATTGAATATTTGAGTAATGCCCATATTTCATTTTATTTTTCTCGAAATACTCGTCAATACGGGCAAATACCGAAAAAATAATCTAAAAAATTTGTTTTCAAATATAAAAATATTTCAAAAGTTTTAATTTTTTTTAATTTTTTTCAGATCATTGACAGGGAAGTTTAGAAGGCGATTGGTGACGTCAGTAACTACGTCAGCAAACTTTTTTTCTCGACTACTGAACAAGAAAGAAAAAGATTGGCCTGAGTTCAATGAGATCACCACTACATCTGTAAACGACGAGGAGCAAGGACACGAAAATAATAAAACGGAAATCGCTGGACAAAATAAAGACATGACTTTGGCGAGAAAATCGCCGCCACAAGATACGAGTGTCTAGGACATTCGCAGAAAGAATTTTCGAGCTAAGAGTCCTGATTGGCACTCACTATCGTATTTAACCCCTCAATGAGGAGAATTTCGTAAACGAAACTTACTAAAAGTGACGTCATTATTCGGTTTTGATTCGCATTTTGCAAATTCAGTAAATTTGAGCTGTTTTTGCATCACTGACTCCGCTATGTGACCTCATATGGCAAAAACTGTGACATCATAATAACGCTTGAAAGATTGAACACATACTCAATGATACTCAGTCTTCACGCTAATAAATAGAGAATATTCTATTTTATCGGTTCGTCTCTGTTTATAATGACGAAGAGATGCTAATCTTGATGACACGATTCAGTATCAAGTCGTTTTCGGCTGAAATTCTCGATTGCGTTCGGTGAATTATGATTCCCGGGAATTTACATTGCTGAGCGGCTTCGTAAATGTTATTAACAATCCCCAACTTGAATATTTATGAGCTTGAGCGACAAAGTGTCTACACGTCCCTTCGAAGTTCTACTGAGAATATTATCAATAATTATGAGGTTTCTATTTTAAATTTACAATATATTTTATGTGTTTATCTAACTTTCATATTTTCAAATGTTCCGGATTTCCGAACTTTCAATTTCAATTCCCAGCCCAAATATCTACAAGCGTGAGAGACAAAGTATTTACACAAGTTTTCGAAGTTCTACTACAAATAATATTATTATTTAGTGTTGCTTATGTCTCTAGTGTTTCACTCTATTTTAGATTTACGAGATTTTTTTGTGTGTTCACCCAAGTAAGCTTTGCCGGATTTCCGGACTTTTGTTTAGCGAGAATTTTCACAATTTTTATTTCGCTTTCACATGAATAAACTTTTATAAGACTGAACGTATTTGGTTTTTGAAATTGAGTTTAATGAGAAAACTGAACAGGTAGAAACAGCATCCCTGGAAAGTTATCACCCATAGCGTGCAATTGTGAAATATTATGTTTGTTCTATTTGTGCGAAGCTTTTCTGCGCCTTTAGCTGTACTATATAGATGAATGTTCCTATATGCGCGTTCTTACTCCCGTGCTATCAAACACGCGTTAGCGGGGTAAACCCCGATTTGAACTCTTTAGAGGTCAATCGGATAGATTGTAATGTCAAATGTTCGTATATTGTAAAATTGCACGTCACAGATAGGTCGATACAAAGAAAGCTTTGAACACTCACGTAGTATGTGTACCAGGTTAGCGTTAGGCCATAATTTTATTTTCATTGTTTTAGAAATTTAGATCTATTACGAGTTCGGGGTCTGTCTTTGTTAGTCAAGTGAATATATCCAGAGGTTTCCGTCCCTTTACACAACTTGATGTAATATAGACGAACAAAATTTGTTACTTCAATATTGGTGCACACACTTCTGGGGCGCCTTCAATTCTGCTTTAACCGGCATCACGCACACAGTGCTTCAGTGATTTCACTATTGGGCATATGAATGCTGGTTGACCTCAACATTTCGCAAGGTAATAGCTTAAACGTTGAACAAACTATGACGCATATAATCATTTAATTGACCTACATTACATTTGCTTTGAAAATCATGTAAACTTATAATAGGTTGTCATTTATTGCGGGTATTTTTAGAGACTATTTTGTAGAAACCCGTGCCACTAAGGCCAAAATGTGAGATTTGAAAGAAACACCCCACAACTTTTTACGGGCGCTTTCTGCAAAATATACTTTTTATGATCATCTTGTAAAATGCAGACAGGGTAACCTGATGGGTTTGCTTGTAATCAATTTTGTAAGAAGTATCAAGGCAAGGAACGCAATTCAGTAATTTAAAAGCCATCTCACGCGGGAAAAAAGCATAAATAAAACAATTGAAATTAGCGCACGTGGGAAACACCAGAGTATAGATTTACATTTTTCAGTTCCGGGATATTGTTCATCATCAAGATGGGTAATTTTCAAAAACAATTATTTTGCGCTTTTCAACATTTTATCATAAAATACCATATATTTAACAGTTTTTTTTAATGTTCGTAGGTTTGCATATTCGCATGACTATTCACCACATAAGGAAGTGAGTTGTGACATAATTGCTAACTATTTGAATATTTCCATACGCTCAGTCATGTACCGGAGATATAGCTCAGTACAATGACGTTTCGGCTTTGGCTCCTGCTTGAGAAATGTCTATAACTGAGCAATGAATTTGGTTCAAATGAGAAGCGATTATATAGCTATGTAATTAGCTGGGCGATTTATTATTAGAAACTAAAATATGGTGGACGTAGTGTATATATTTACTAAAATTTTGCTAGCCTAAAAGATGTAATGTAGTAGTAAGACAGTAGAACTTTGGCGTATGCAATGGACCACAAATAAGAGATTGTTATTACGTATCGATTAGAATTGGTGGCTTGGCATTCTCACAGTACATACAGTACAGTTATGCTTTTACAGCGGGCTCTGAAATCTATGTCAAAAGGGCTATTTTTGAACGTAGGTTAGCTTCTGTTTACATCCTCTCGAAGCAGGCGTCAAACTACGGACTGCGATGGCGATGTATTTAAAATTGTGTAATATGATGAGAAGTTGCATGTTTCGCAATAGGCTACACCGCTACAGCCTATATAGACGAGGAAGTCGGATCAGGTTTTTCCTCATAAAAACATTTACCAGCTTACGTGAACCCAGCACCTGTAGCTATACATAGCCTGGCCTTTTGAGAAAGAACAAGTTTTTCAAAAGTTCATTTTTGTAATCGACAGTTGGCGAGTAAATTACCCTAACCTAACCTCGGATAATTCATTTGGTCTTCAGAACTTTAGAAATTTTTATGGGGATTCCACATGCCAATTATGAACGTGGTCAAATATCAATGATAATAGTCAATGATACATAAAAAAAAACTTAATATTTATAAAGACATTCGACATTTGAAATCTGTGACGCTGACGGTATATGATATTGAACATGTTAGTGACCATAACATCTTTATTTATTATTGCCCTATACGCTAAGGGGAAATTCGAAATCTCGAATTGTAGCTTTCACGTTCTTTGGGTTACTTTTAATCTATTTGTAATCCCTATAATCACACGTTTTCTCTTAATTATAGATTTAATAGTTACGAGGTAGTTCCATTTGTGCAAATGGATTTGTTTGGATTTATATTCGCCATATTTCTGATAAGAAAAAATGTTTTTGCAGGTAAGATTTCTAAATTTGATATTAGTTTGGCATAACAGAACTTAAATATTACTGCTTGGATGCAGTGTTAGGGGTACTTGAGTAAACGTCTATCAAAGACTTGAAATGAAACATGCTCACTGCTTATCTCATTCATGGGTTGAATTACAGGTGGGGAAAAATAGCTCTTTCGCGACCAACTGATTTAAGAAGCCCTGCTCTGAACTATACAAGGTGTCATATCCCTGATATGCTTGTAATGGAATCACCAGCAAATCTGTAGATTAAAGTACTTTCAGGGTAATAGGATTTGATAATATGGTTCGTGTTAAAAAATGGAAACTTTTAGTGTTATGCATTGATCTCGTTGTTAAATTATTGGTCGTCCTTAAGTTTAATTGTTATGTATATCCGGTTCCATTACATTTGAACCCATGACAATTGCACCTGCATACTATTGCACCTATAGAATTTTTTTTTGTTTTACGGTTATTTGAACCCATACTAACCCTAACCCATGGGTTTTAGCACCCACATATAGATTGATCCCGCGGATATAAACATGGGTTCAAATGTATGTGGGTTCAAATGTACGTTCACCGTATATTCATATGTGATGATTACACAAAGAATGACCAGGTCATACGTTGATTTTCACTTGATAATATGTACATGTTTTGCTGTTTTAGTTGAAATTTCAATGGAAGTACAAGTAGGAGGTGCAGCCACGCCCGGCTGCATCGGTGGGGACAAACTCACGGTATGTTTTATTATTATTTCCATATTATAATATCCCGAAGATAATGAAAGTCGATGAGACTTGAGCAGATGGCGACGGTGGTTTTCGTCTGGTTTCCAATAATATTCGCTTACAAAGGTTGCCACCATTTTTAATGGAATTCCTTCCTTCGGATAATTCAGAACTCTTTATTCCTCCCTCACTCAAAAGTATTTTATTTGTCTAACCTTTAATTGGACCCTTAGCTGTTGTTGTGTGCAAGTCGCTTTTGTACAGTTATAAATGAGTATTACAGTAGTTTCATAACGCTATAAATTATTACTAATACTACAGCAAACACAGACAAAAATGAGCGAAATCACGTGCTAAGTGATAAAATTAATGTTATTACTAATATATGAATCACTACAACGATGGTGAGAATTGTAAATAAACGCGAATAATAAAAATATATCTAAACGTAATAACGGCCCTATTTAATCTGATTTAAATCAAAAACTTTAAAAATTTGTTTTACTTTCCTTTACAGGCTGCAGATTTAGAAGGTGAGTATAATCTAACACAATTTAACGCATTTTCCGCGTGTCTGAACCTAACCAATATTCTAGGGCTGGGCATTTTCGAAACACTGGTGCCGAAAACGAAATTTTGCCTTCGAAACGAAACGAAACACACGTTTGTCAAAAACAATAAAACCATTATTACCCATCGAATTTAATGTATAATTGCCAATTGCACATTAAAACCACAAAAACGAAGCACTGGAGGCTAATTCGAGAGCATGAAACGATAATGATAATTCAATGAAGGTTTCTGCTAATGACAAAGCAGTGACTAGTTGGCATCAGAATAATCATTACGAATTACGTCATTGTTAGAGATAGTGCTCACAAGCAGCATACATAGCATGAGGCCTCTCAACGTATCAATGCGACCCTGCCCTCATCTTATGTAATAATTGGGATCATTTTCTATATTATTCGATGTCACAGAGCCTTGTGATCCAGTGGGGTAATAATACCAAGGACTCCATGAACACAGGAAATGTGCTTTCATGATATTATCGTTGATTGAAATTAGCTACAACTAGCCTCCCATAGAAATGTTTTAAATCATACAGTAAAATTAAAATAAATTCGGATTTTTGTCGCGGCTAACTTTCGTTGTGACTGTTCATCGTCAGCGTGACATCGACATCGTTAAGCTAAAATTCGCTACAATTATCCCTCCCCCCACAAATTTTGACTGTTTATTTTGCTTATTACGCGATTATCGTCGTAATCAAATGAGTCGACCCAATTCACAAATTTCCATCCGCCAATGACGGAGAGTTAAGACTGAGAATCGTGTTTCATTTTTCTTCAAGTCAGTTCTGATTTGAATATTTCACGTCGACTGTTATGCTTTTATTATTGCTTATAAATTAATACCGCAAACTTGCACTGAACTTAATATTATTATTAACGACGCCAGTGTAACAATAAAATCTGCGATAGATACTAAATAAATTCACCAGCAAATCTGTAGATTAAAGTACTTTCAGGGTAATAGGATTTGATAATATGGTTCGTGTTAAAAAATGGAAACTTTTAGTGTTATGCATTGATCTCGTTGTTAAATTATTGGTCGTCCTTAAGTTTAATTGTTATGTATATCCGGTTCCATTACATTTGAACCCATGACAATTGCACCTGCATACTATTGCACCTAGGGAATTTTTTTTTGTTTTACGGTTATTTGAACCCATACTAACCCTAACCCATGGTTTTTAGCATCCGCATATAGATTGAACCCGTGGATATAAACATGGGTTCAAATGTATGTGGGTTCAAATGTACGGTCACCGTATATTCATATGTGATGATTACACAAAGAATGACCAGGTCATACGTTGATTTTCACTTGATAATATGTACATGTTTTGCTGTTTTAGTTGAAATTTCAATGGAAGTACAAGTAGGAGGTGCAGCCACGCCCGGCTGCATCGGTGGGGACAAACTCACGGTATGTTTTATTATTATTTTCATATTATAATATCCCGAAGGTAATAAAAGTCGATGAGACGTGAGCAGATGGCGACGGTGGTTTTCGTCTGGTTTACAATAATATTCGCTTACAATGGTTGCCAACATTTTTAATGGAATTCCTTCCTTCGGATAATTCAGAACTCTTTATTCCTCCCTCACTCAAAAGTATTTTATTTGTCTAACCTTTAATTGGACCCTTAGCTGTTGTTGTGTGCAAGTCGCTTTTGTACAGTTATAAATGAGTATTACAGTAGTTTCATAACGCTATAAATTATTACTAATACTACAGCAAACACAGACAAAAATGAGCGAAATCACGTGCTAAGTGATAAAACTAATGTTATTACTAATATATGAATCACTACAACGATGATGAAAATTGTAAATAAACGTGAATAATAAAAATATATCTAAACGTAATAACGGCCCTATTTAGTCTGATTTAAATCAAAAACTTTAAAAATTTGTTTTACTTTCCTTTACAGGCTGCAGATTGGAAGGTGAGTATAATCTAACACAATTTAACGCTTTTTCCGCGTGTCTGAACCTAACCAATATTCTAGGGCTGGGCATTTTCGAAACACTGGTGTCGAAAACGAAATTTTGCCTTCGAAACAAAATCGAAACGAAACGAAACACACGTTTGTCAAAAACAATAAAACCATTATTACCCATCGAATTTATTGTATAATTGCCAATTGCACATTAAAACCACAAAAACGAAGCACTGGAGGCTAATTCGAGAGCATGAAACGATAATGATAATTCAATGAAGGTTTCTGCTAATGACAAAGCAGTGACCAGTTGGCATCAGAATAATCATTACGAATTACGTCATTGTTAGAGATAGGGCTCACAAGCAGCATAGATAGCATGGGGCCTCTCAACGTATCAATGCGATCCTGCCCTCATCTTATGTAATAATTGGGATCATTTTCTATATTATTCGATGTCACAGAGCCTTGTGATCCAGTGGGGTAATGATACCAAGGACTCCATGAACACAGGAAATGTGCTTTCATGATATTATCGTTGATTGAAATTAGCTACAACTAGCCTCCCATAGAAATGTTTTAAATCATACAGTAAAATTAAAATAAATTCGGATTTTTGTCGCGGCTAACTCTCGTTGTGACTGTTCATCGTCAGCGTGACATCGACATCGTTAAGCTAAAATTCGCCACAATTATCCCTCCCCCCACAAATTTTGACTGTTTATTTTGCTTATTACGCGATTATCGTCGTAATCAAATGAGTCGACCCAATTCACAAATTTCCATCCGCCAATGACGGAGAGTTAAGACTGAGAATCGTGTTTCATTTTTCTTCAAGTCAGTTCTGATTTGAATATTTCACGTCGACTGTTATGCTTTTATTATTGCTTATAAATTAATACCGCAAACTTGCACTGAACTTAATATTATTATTAACGACGCCAGTGTAACAATAAAATCTGCGATAGATACTAAATGATATTTAAGAGCTAGTTCATACGGGGCAAATGCAGAAAATGCTTGGTCACTATAGAAACTAAGAATGAAAAAGATCAATTACGACAAAATTTGATTTTAGATATATTGTCGCAGTAACCCAGACTATCTCGACTATGTTGAAATATACGATAATAATTGTAAAATATTTTCATTCAAAAACTTATATTGTATGTCGGTGATGATTTAAATCCTTTCATGTAGGCAGTAATTCATTGCGGGTCGCAAAGAGTGTCTTCAATTACGATAAAACATAAAATGAAATAATTATAAAATGAACGTGGACGATGGCACCAGGACGTGTGCGCGATATTTAATATTCTTAAAAACACTGAAAACGATATTTGAGAGTCGCGATATTCGAATGAATTCGGATATGAAATTCGACTTGGACATCGCTGAATAATATTTTGACTGATTTCAGATTGTTTTTGCTATGACGTCATAATGTCCGTTTCGGAAGTCAAAACAGCGCCGTTTCGACATATCAGTGTTTCGAAACGTATCGAAACAGTGTTTCGAAACGCCCAGCCCTAAATTGACACAACAGGTTAATGGGTACTCCCGTAGTATGTGTACCAGATAAGGGTTTAAGTAATAATTTCATTCCGATTTTCCTTATTTTATTTCTACGGAGACTATCTGCGTTAGCCAATTGAATATAGGTTTCAGTCCCTTCACACAACTTGGTGTAAAGTAGGCGAACAAAATTAGTTACCTCTATATTGGTACACATACTTCTGGAGCCCTGTTTAATGAAATATTTTGATCATTCACTAAAAGCTCTTTTTGTTTGAAGTAATGGGGTTTTCAATTGGCCCCGAATCTGCATTTCGATGTTAATCACCTAATTTGCAAGTATTATTCAGCGTTTCTTTATATAATAGAATGCTTGAAATCTGCATTAAAAATAAATTATTTTCAATATTTCATAATAATTTTGAGTGATATATATATACGGTATATTTATTTCAAGAATTGGGTAAAGAACTGGAGAAAAAAATTGAAGCAGCATTGTTGGAAAATCCGGGAAGTGACATCATCATAACAACTAACTTCTATCAAGGCGACAAATTTCATTCGACGCAGGTTACGAATTATGACGCAACAACAATTGCTAACCAAGGTAACTTACTGACGTCATATTTCCTCAAAATATCAAAACCCACAGCAAGAAATGTCCGAACGTATTGGTGTTCCTACTCGTTGGTATTTTAAAAAAGAGTTAATCATTTATTAAAAATGAGAAATGGACAAAACATGGCGTCTTCAGAACAAACGTGAAGTCAAAATACTATTTTAAGGGTTCACGGTTAATGTTAAAATACTCCAAAATATGCGAATATCTGTGAAGGTGACAACTAAATACTCGGCAAAAATGCAAGTATTTATATATGATGCTTTTTAGAAACCATCAAAATCAAAATGACAAACCAGGGCAAATACCCTCATTTATTTTATTTAGCCATAAGTTTATTTGGGGCTCCCGAAATATGCGAACCAAGATGGCGGACATCGGAAAGTAATATGTGTACTAGGTTAGGGTTAGGTCATAATTTTAGGTATAAATACTACGGGAGGCTTTTGGCTAGTCTTCGAACTGATAATAGGACTAAAATAAGGAAAATTGGAAAAAAATTATCGCCTAACCCTAACCTGTTACCAATGTTACGTTCCGATGTCCGCCATCTTGGTTCGCATACTTCGGGAGCCCCGTTTATTTTACATCATGTTATGAGTGAGGTCCATGAGTCATTAGTATTAGCAAGCTGTTAAAACCCTTTCCTTACATTCCCCTTTCCTTAGGTAGTAATTTCATCATTTCCCCGGGTATTGGTTCTTTACATAATATAACATATTGGTACATGCACTTCTGGAGCGCCACTATATATGCACAAATATATCGAGAGCAATATTTTGCCGGTATTGGAGTTTGCCCAAAATTAGAACTTAAAATCTAGACTTAGAACTATACGCAGTCGGGAGCCCGAATTACAGGCTTTTGAAAAAGGAACAGAAATCTAAGTTTACAGAAAAAAAAACACGAAAAAGATTTGCAAATAAAAGCTTGGGTTGCCTAAATCGTCTCTTTTGTAATTGGAGCTGAAGACAAATTAGGATAAGATAGGGATAGAATTTACATATTTATTCCGGAGGAGAGGAAAGCCGATAAGACGGCTTGATTATATGATGAAACACGGCCTCTTGTCAGATTACCAGTCCAGGTCGATATGGGATTAGTTAATTTTAAATCTAGAATCGAGATAAGGAGTTGGACTGAGTTTTTTCAATAACTGGGTAGCGGGATTCGAATTAAATTGTATAGATAAATAATCCTCTCTGTATAATATATATAATCATTTAATTTTGTCTTATCGTAGATTTATACACGTGCGACGTCACACTGGGAATGATTTGCTATTGGCTTGTTCGGGGGGAATTCCGCTACAGCGAAGCTGAAGAAGCTTGTCGAGCAAATGGCAATTATGAAGTCGCTGTGATACCGGATGAAAACACGTACGACATGGTGGTCCAGTTTTTGACGACCAAACTCACAACAACCCAGTTGTTCATCTGGATAGGATCGGAGATTTCTGATGAGGTATACTTGATGGAATTTATTTCATGGATAGGGTGCGGCTACGATCACTTATTTATGATTGTGTTTTTATTGCAGTGACAAGTAGTGGAAGTTGTTGGTGTTCAGCTTCTAAAGCCGAACTCATCAATGACAACAGCGTTTTAAAAACGTAATTCCCGTCCTTATAAATTGAATTAGATATTGAACCTCTGGTCCCGCTACTCAATACCCAGTTTCAGCTTCCCTCCCCAGTAAAATGTGTGTTGAATTTTATTTTTTTAATTCCGTATACTATTTTTTACTAGATCAAAAAAATAAACTTAACTATAAGAAAATCCCTTTGGAAATGCATGTGTTGTATTACCGTTGTTTTTTGTTTCGTGCATTGTTGAATCAAGGAGTGAATGGCACTATTGTGGTTCTGCTACACATGATTTCCAACAGGCTTCTAGATTAAAACTCTGAATCTCGAAAGTTTTCGTATAGCAGTTCTGAGTGAAATAAGATTGTTTTGTGTAAGTTTTGTGGAATTATATATTTTTATCGCACGATTCAAAATAAGAAGAATAATATGTGTTATATTTTTAACAGACCGGAATAGTCAAAACCGAAAAGAATGTTTACGTCAACTGGTACCCTAACTATCCCCGAAGAAATCCATACAACCATACAACATATTTCGAGAACATGGTTTTGTATCTCAAACAGGAGTCATCACATGTCGAACACGGCATGCAAAATAGGCAATTTACTTGGTCACGCGATGTATTATGTAGCAGGAAACTATGAACAAAACCCCGGCATAAAGAGGACAAATGTTGGCGCTCCAGTAGTGTATGTACCAATATGTATAGGTAACTAATTTGTTTGCCTTTCACTTGGCTAACACAGACAGTTTCCGAACCCGTAATAGAACTAAAATATTCTCAGTTCAACCGGAATAAACCCTAACCTGGTACCTACGGTAGTACCCAAATGTTAGCTCGGTTGATGTACCGAGCTGTAAGCAATACTGCTTTAATATTGCAAATATTCCGATCATTGATTTTATTTTAGTTTTTTTTATCTGGTTATGATAAAAAGAAAAATCAGATACTCAGATGTAAACTGCTACAAAAGAATGTTTACGTAAACATGTTATATATCTGTTATTTCTGTCTTAGGTTTCAAATTTCTGTAATAAAAAAGTCCGACAGAAAAGATAAAACTCGATTGATGTTCCGGACTAAGCATTCGTGCCCCGATCTTGTAAATACACCGATCGAGGGTATTATTTATTTTACTTTTATTTTTATGAAATTGATATAATTTAATGCTGATTTCTGTATTTATACTTACTTTTTTTGTATCGTTTTCATTTTTACAATTTAGTTTTTATATCTGAGAATGTTGTAAACTCAATGAATGGGAAATTTGTTTTATTATTATGTATACTTATCCCAATTGTTTTGTGTTTTTGTGATATAATAAATAAACTAAACTTTAAAATATCTTCAATGTCACATCGTCGATGTTCATGCGATATTATGTTCTCTCAATTCTACGAGAAAAAAATAGTATCGATTTTCTCGAAGCACACAACGTGCATATGTTGACGGATACTTGTTAGAAAAGGAGATTTGCGGCACCGATATAAAGATCTCACGGACTAAACGATTATGTCACACTGATAACTGTCACACTGTCGAAGTTATATATGAGATATGGCCTACCCCTAATCTGGTACACATACTACGTTTCAGTGTCCGCCATCTTGGTTCACATACTACATACCATTTTACCACGTTCGACATGATTACATGACGACATATTTGATAAAAAAAGGACGTCTTAATTAAAAGACCGGAAAATAAAAATAAATATACAGTAGAAATATGTGTTTAATATATATTGAACGCATAATACAAAGTAAATAGCATTTTCTTGGCTGTTGGGAAACAAAAGCATTTTTTTAAAATTAGCTCATATAGTTAAGGGGTAAATATTTCGCGTAGTAGTAAGTAGGCCTATATAAAAACTGACTCTATATATGGTGTAGTAGAACGTAGTATGTGTACCAGGCTACGGATAGGCCATAATTTTATTCCAATTTTTGTTTTATTATGAGTTCGGGAACTAGCGAACTAACTCCCGTAGTATTTTTACCTGAAAATATGGCCTAACCATAACCTGGTACATATACTTCGGGAGTACTGATAAAACATTTTAGTTACCAATAGCCCAAAGTTCATGCTGTACAAGTATATATGAAAAAGTATGTATATATATATATAATTAAAAAATGCATAATCATGGCGATTGTTTTAGATGCGAATATTCAATAGCAAAAAAAGAGCCCAAGGTCATCCCAATACTCCTGCCACCAAGGTCATTTGCAATTTGAAGGTCAAACAGTGTCATATACAAATTCTTCATATGTTTTCATAACCCAAAATTCAGGATTTCAAGGTCATTTAAAAATTTCAAGGTCAAAGATCCTTCATAACTTTAACATCCATTGTAGGTGTAATTCAAAATTTCTCAATTACTTCTACGGACATATGGGCCACCCTTGTGCATATTAAGCTAAAATACAAATTAAAAAACATTTCCTTGGCTGCTAAGTAAGAGAAGCGTTTGAGAAACGTAATGAGTTTTAAATAGCAGTAAAAATAATATTCAAACTGACTCTACATCGCGATGAAACATTTGACTTATCAAATGCCTGATCAAACGTCATGTTTTGTGAGTATATATATATATATTTGAAAAATCTATGTAAAATAAAAAATTGAGTAGTTGCATAATCATAATTTTAAAAACATAAAATATATATATTATATTTTTATAGATAAATATTAACATGTTAGATTTATATACTCTCTTTTAAAAAGGTGACGTTCTTGTAACATTCGACATATCAATTCTATTTTGTTGTGGTGGAATTAGGAGCCTCATACTACAGTAATCAATTAGACAACGCTTCATTCTCTGACATTACAAGATGTTAAAATAGTAGGCAGAAAGGCACTCGACCACCGAGGCACCGAGATGGCGCACAACCTGAACCCTAACTCGGTAAACATACTATGTTCAGGTTGACGCCATCTTGGTGCCCATACTTCGGGGGGTCCCTGTTGGAGTTACTGAAAAAATTCACTTGCGTTCGCAAAGTATGTAGCAATCAATTTCAGTTATTCGATATTTCAAGATAGAAAAGTTGTTACAGGATTATTACTCTTATTTTTGATTTAAATTTTCGTCGAGTACTATTATAGGGTAAGTCAACTCAAATTTTGCGCATATTGGGCCATCGTGTGGAGTTTCAGCAGGACAAATTCGTCATTTTTGATAAAGACGGCGCCGATTTGTTACGTGGGCGGAACCAGTGATGGGATTCCAAATTCCAAGAAGGTGAAATTCACTAACATCAGGTTCTCTGTTTAAAAAAAACAATCCTCAATCGACAGCTTTAGAGAAACGGTTTCGCTCAGTTGTGGAATTCCGGGAGTTCGCGAGAACCCGTTTTAGGAAATAAGAATAATCAGCGAATCTGCTATTGACGTTAGAGTAAAGGGATGTAAAAAGTTGCAGTTCATGAACAATATTTACAGTGTTACAAAAACGAGAGTGGAAAACAATAAGCCTCGTGCCAAAACTAAATTTAATATAACAAATTCCTTGAGCTATTTTTAGCCGAATCATTAAAATTTAATTTCAGTTTGATTGAGGCAGTATCAGACGGGCCGGATTGAATTACTCAACAGGTCGGATTTGGCCCACGGGTCGTAGTTTGCCCATGTCAGCGTTAGACGATCGCAGCAAATGGGTAACATGAACCGCGCTGACGGTTAGAGTGATATGTGGCGTTTAGAAAATTATGTATTGGATATATGTATAGCGTGTCATGTTAATGTAGCTTACATAGCCAGTATAATAACACTGAGCAGAGTCCACAAATATGTGAAATCCATTACAACAGTATAATGTATTATTAGAATCAGAATCCGAACCAAGTACACATTCATCTCGAAAATATAAAACATTCTAGCTAGGCGTTAAAAAATATAACGAGCCATGCTTTGAAAACTAATGTTGCGAGCGCACGAAATTCAAATTTTACTGCGCAAATGGTCTGGTGGTACTGCGCGATGGTGCACCCTAGCTAGCGGGAACCTTGATAGTGACCTCATTCTGTTTCAAATGAGAGAACCTGTTGTTAGTGAGTTTGATATACAAAAGAACCTGTTCTTAGTTTGGATATTGGAAATTTCGAATGCCATCACTCGGTTCGCTTATTATCACAAGATTCTAAGAATAAGATGATCAGATATTAGATTTTTACATGGGTCGCATATTCTAAGACTGGTAATTTGACGTTCATGTATATATAGGGTGTTCATAAAGTCTTGAAATTTTTAAAACACGAGAAGGGAATTAATTTATCGATACCATATATTGCTTTGTCCCTCACAGATGTATTAAATGAAGTAAAAATACCTGAACAATTACTGGTTAAAAAACAGCAAACCAGGTTAAGATATATTGATAACTGACTTCATAACAAAATTGAAATTGTAAAGGGACTTTATGAACACCCTGTATATATCGGAGCATTGATTTCTTCTTTGTTTTAAAGAATTATTTCCTGCTCTTGGCAAATCGTATTATACGGACCATAAAGCGCAGCGTGTTATAAGACTCACTGTCAAAAATCCGGTAAATTGGGATTTTGCAAAGGTGCAACGGGTACTGGTACTGGTTTTGGATGTAGGCTGCAGAAAGCACAACTTAATCAATACATTAGGCGCATCGGCTTATAAGTTTCAAGGCGGATTTTTGACAAGAAAAAAAAGGATTTTAGGTGACATAAAATACAATAAACTTATACATGAAATTGATAGGAATCCCATCGAAACAAAATAAAAAGCAAAATTTTTGGTCTTCAGCAGGAAATACTTCTCAAACTCAAAAACGAGCAGTGCTGTAAATGGGATTAACGCGAGGTTGGTCCATATTGACCTCCTCCGGAAGTCTTTTATATGCATTTATTATTTTTTGACGATTTTTTTCATCTGTAATTCCGATATCTTTCAGATCTTCTTCGTCCATGTCAATCAGGATGTCGTATTTTATATTTTCTTTTTCAAACAAAGAAGCCAAATCGCTCAACTCGAGATTTTGTAAGAAGTCTTCGACGCTCCCAAATCCTGAATTCAAAAGAGATGTTTTAT